CATGTGAAGATGTTTCATGATGGTTTGATGCTAATATTTATAATAAAATTGTATTATAATTTAATAAATGTTTTAAATATATATTAATTTATTTATTTTAAAAAATATTTAATATAATTAAATAATTTATTTAATTATTTAAAAATTGTGGAAATTTAACCGGCCGGTTCAAAAGAATTGGGCAGGTTCACTGGTTCGCCGGTTGAACCAGTGGTTCTGACCGATTCAGTCCGGTTCGATGCAGAAGCGGTTCTCAGACTGGACTGGACCGGTCTTGTGACCAGTTCACGATTGAACCGGTCGAACTGGCCGGTCTGAATTTTAAAACAGTGCATTAAACAGAAGCCATCCGATGACCCAGTTAGGAAAGTTGAGGTATTAAATTTGACTTATGTTAAGAAAGGTAGAGGTGGACCTAAAAAGACTTGGTTAGAAAATATTAAAAATGATCTTTCTTTATTGGATTTAAATGAGAATTTGATTTTTAACATGACACAATGGCGAAAATGATTCATTTAGTCGACCCACGTACTTGGACAAAAGGTTGATGTTGTTGTTGTTGTTGTTGTTGTTGTATTCTCTGTAGTTTAAATTTACTATATTGCACTTTATTATTCAGCTACCTAATTTGTTGGGCTTGTAAGTGTAATCAATGAATTTGTTATTCATAGAGATGTACACTTGTTTAGAGTTGTTTTATTTATTTGTGCTTATTTAAAATTACTCTTGCATTACATAAAATATTTACTTCACCATAATTTGCATTTGAATATTTAGATTTATAAGCTTGTGTAATTTGGGTGTTAGTGGATTGATTTGATTAGCTAGTGTGGTCGAAATTTCATCACTATTGAACTTACTAGTAAGCATTCAATCACTCATTTACTTAGCATAACCTTAGCTATACTTGTGTGGTATCATTTGTAGAGCACCTCTTGTTAATTACAATTGTGCATATTCTAATAAATTTGAGTGCAATAAATTATATAATGGCAAATATTATACACTAATTATGTTATTTTACACATTGTGCATGTCATATTTCCTATACTTGTATCTTGAATGCTCAATTTTGTACATTTCAATTTTATATTATTAGCTTTTGTTAGTAGCTAGAGAGTAAGGAATTTAATTGGTTGATTTTCAAAGACGTTAAACAAACCAATGGAACGCACAACTCCAAACTAACTCCCCCTACTCTTGATGTGCCCTTGACTATCAATTCTAACTTATTAAACTGCATCATAATCAAATCCGATATCAATGAAAAAAAAGAAAATAGTGATTTGATCATCATAACATTTGATTTTCGTACAAATATCTAAAAACATTTTTAAAATAAGATACCTTGAAGCATCATTAAATTTGATGAGCCCGGAATAACTTTAAAGACAAATAATTGATAATTAGCACATGCAATACTCATAAATCACAAAAACAAAAAGACATATGGTATTAAAAAAATAGTTCAACAACTGCCTAATCCAATTAGCAAATCATAAAATTATCAATGCAATCCTTTCACATTTGCATCTTAGGCACTATTTGGCAAAAAATGATACACATCTAATTGTTTAATTCAAGATGTATCTAAGTGTCTCAATACAATATCAATGTCTAGGATTACTAGTCAGGAAATACTATTAGATTTTTACAATCATAAAATTCATCTAATATCAATCATGAGGCTCTGACAAATAAAATTTTAGCAATAAAAAATTAAAACTGAATAAGCAATCACCTCACTTTTCTTTGCAATTGGCCCACAACAGAGAAATTATGCAACTAATTTACAAATAGCATCAGTAACAACCAAAGGGGCAACAAGAAAGCTGAAGCATTGAACAGGATAGCAACAAAAAATGGATTGAGTTACATCCCAGAAAAAGCACAGTAAAGAATACCTGTGCCGTCCCCTCCCGTTTTCTTCAAACCGGTCATCATGCATGTAGAAGGCCCCTGCAGTCGGTACAGAAAAAGGTTCACTCTCCTTCTTTTCCTCCTCTTCGCCCGGATTCTTTTCCTTATACCCACCCATCTCACCGCCAGATCTCAGGCCAGACTCCTCGGGCAGAACTGACGAACCATCGAACTCTCCAACATCCCTGCTGCGCCCTCCCTCAAGAGTAGCCCTCTCCAAAACCTCGACCTCATCTTCACCTTCCATGTCCTCTTCCTCCACCTCCTCTCCTATCATTTCTTCCTCTTCCTGCTCCTCGTACTCCTCATCGTCGTATCCCGGCGCACCGCCTTCCCCTTCCAACTCATCATCTGATCGAATATCAAGCCTGTCCTTTCTAACCGGCTTACTTCCCCCCTCACCGCATGACCCCTCCCCGTCCTCGTCGTCACTTGCCTCCCTTCGACGCATCATCGACGGACGAAGCGAGTCCTCGGGATCACTATCGTACTCCACGTCCTCGCAATCCGCCATCGGACCCTTTATAAATTCCTAGGAACCAATATCCACAACTTTCTCGTACGGACAACGCCAAAGCTCAATCTAGGGTATTTTTTTCCGGGGCGCAATCTAGGGTTGAGTAGGGAAATATAGAAAACGGAGAGGAAAACGAACAAAGATGATATCAGGAAGGTGGGGAAGATGGATCCGTAATTGCAACAGAGAGAACCCGTGCTTCGATGAAGACGAGACAGTACCGGAATCTTAACGGCTGGTGTTCTACATTACCGGTGACTACTTCCTCTCCTGTTTATCCCCGAGCGGTTGGGTGCGACCGGAAAAAAAAAAGTAAAATATTACTGCATGTACTTACTTAATGCACTCAAAAAAAGACTAGCAATAGGAACCCGGACTTTTGATTTGCGTGTCTCGCGAGTGGAAATCGTGTTGCATCATGTTTAGAATGGGCAATCTCCGGTTCCTTCCAAATTGACCTGTATTTGAAGCCAGCTAAAATCGATGTCAATAATCAGTGTAAGCAGCTTATCTATTAGTTAATTCGGAGTTTTGATTATTAATAAAAAAATTTGATTCGAAATTTATATTTGTATGAATTTATTTTAATAAACTTAAAAGTTCTAATTAAACATATAATTTGCATGTTGTTCGTATTTAAATTTATTCTCATAATTAGATGAGAATCCTATTATGAGATAACATAAAATAAGAGAACATAGAATGTGAGAGGGAAAAAATATTGATTTTAAATTTATATGTGGAAACATTCAAATCTTACTTTAGGACTTATAAGGCTTCACTACGTAATAGTAGTGAGAAAGAGAGATTTTAAGTATTTTTGTCTTGTCCTTTTAATTGCCCTATAACCTTTTATGTATAGAGTTATGGGCTTATAAAAAAAATTATATAAAAAGCATACTCATTTACAAAAAGCGTGAGCACAATAGTAGCTAAAAATATAAATAAAATATTGACTGTCAATCTAGTGAGCTCATTGAACGAGTACAGTTATGATGCTCATGTTGGGTGATGACTGATGAGTGACTAGTATAGTTATACTAAGTAAAGAGTGGAGTGTATGTAATATGTGTGGTAAGAATTTCAGGCAAATATTCATTAATGATTATTAATGTTAAATTGATTAGAAATTATTAGTCTTAGAGTATTTAATGGGTTTGTAACTAGGGTTTGGGATAGAGAAGTGAAAATGCAACTGTGAAAAATTGCTCTATGGGTGCTGTGGCACAAGGGTTGACAGCGTCGCAACATTGAGTTCTCGAAAAAATGAAAAAAAAGGGAATTGGGTGTGCGTAGCGGTACCACGAAGCGCCACTGTGGTGTTGAATCTCAAGTGAGGATTTTCTAGGAGAATCTGGAAGATTCTTTAGGAGCTTTGATGCGCTTGGATGCTCAGCGCCACGACACTAGATAAAGCTAGTTGTTTCTAAATATTAAAATATCCAAATCTATATGACTATCCCATTCCATTCCCAACCAACCTTGCTGGTGAAGGAGAAGGATAAGAAGAGGGGGGGGGGAGAGGAAGGATTTTGGAGGCCGAAATCTGGAAATCATCCGTTCATGTGATTTGAAAAATTGTCGAGCTTGAGGTAGGCTTTCGATAGTATATTTTTTATTTCAATTCTAAAAATATCCATAAAAATATATGATTATAAATATATTTTTCTTAAGTTTGAACATTTTTCACTATATAACTTTTGGCATATCGTTACACACTTTGTTCTACATAATTTGACTATTAGAATGCAAAATTTTTACCCTTTGATTTGCTCTGTATGAATTTCTAATTTTTTTAAAAAAAACTATGTCACTTCTGCACATCAATATTATTAGCAAAGTGTGTTAATTTAGTATTCTACATATTTTTTATGAAATCGGTATAATTCTAAGAAATTTAACTGGTCATCCAAAATTTGGGCTTTTTGTATAAAATATGGTAATTAATATGCATATGCTTTAAATTACTCAGTTGTATATTACAATATCACATCATGTGCATGCACTGTATAACATTTTGGAGCTCTGTTATGGAAATGAAAGTGCACTTTTAATTTTGTGCTTAGGTCTAATATAAATATATATCTATTCGCGACTACTACTTTGTTTAGCTTTGACTTTGAGATAATTCTTTGTTGTACTATACTCTACTATATTTTGGCTATGCTCTGGACCTACCTCAAGCAGGTGAGAGGTCATAAATGGGAGTTATAAGTAGGCATTAACACGTGCATTTATGCATTTATATTCATTTGTGATATAGTATGCCAAAATTATAGAGTAAACAAAAAATATATTATTTTCTTTATTTTAAATATAAATTGTGAATTGTACTCTAATATGGGGAAAAGAGTTAGCCTACTAAGTTTATACTCAATCAGTTATTTAAAATATTTCAGGTAAAGGCAAAGGTCCCGTTGAATAGATTGATCTAAGGAGAAGAGAATCTGATATTTTAAGGTACATATGATTTAATAGTTCAAAATATATTTAAGTCTTTTATTACAATCATTATATTATGAGTTATTGTTATTTAAGTATTTTAAAAGAAATATTCTGGATGTTTATTTTTTACTATTTTAAATGATTAGAAGGCTCTAAAGAAATAAAAAGTTGGAATAAAAATAAATTAATTAATTAATAAAAGTTAGGGTAAAATCCTCTTTTAAGTCTTGGGGTGTTACAAAGTGGTATTAGAGTAACAATTTGGAGGAATTAAATTTATCCCAGAGCTGTAGAAAATGATTTGTAAGTCTTTGAAGATATATTTAGTGGTTGATGCTAATTTTTGTTTAGGTAATTGTAAGTCATTGAGCTTGTTATTGAACTTTCTTATTTTCAATAGTTTAAACTATTATTATAAATAGACTCTCAAGATCCTGAAGCAATCGATGGACAGAATTCCAATGTTGTTATAGTTCATAGTGCAACAAAAGAAATAACATCAGATTTAATGATGCTGTTTGATGAGTTGGTGGCTTAGTTGATGGGAGAAGCTTAGAGTAAGATGTTAGGAGTGAGAGGAGATGAGATATATCATCATTTATAGTTATTCTTGAGATTGAAACATTCATATTTTCAATGAGTTATACATCCTCGTGCTAAAGAATATTGGCTATTAAGGATGGAGAAATTACTTAATGGTATGTAGTGTTTAGGATATAGAAAAGTGCTATTGGCATCATTTCTTTTGGATGGAGAAGCTGAGCGCTGGTGGGTAGGCTAGTTGATGAGATAATATCATGTGATAAGATAATTGTGAACTAATATAAAACTTACTAGATTTGAAACATACTTAGATTTTTTTATATAAAATTTTAAAATAGACAGTTAATTTACATAAATATACATGCTAAATAAAGAAATAAAGTGATAAAGAAGAGTGTCAAACCCACAAGAAAATGATCTACAATATTGTAATAAAATTACTACTACTTACTCCAAATGCTTAAATTTATCCTGCTGAAATGAAAATATGATTTTGAGTTCCTACCATTGAACGACAATTAAGTAAATAAGTTGATGTTGCAACTCAGGCTCCTGAGTTTATGTTTTTGATGATATCAATTATTATTGATTGACTCTATATTTCTCTTAGGGGCTGTTTGGTTGCCTGAAAAAGAAATGCAGTGTAAAGTAAATACAATGTAAAATAAATGTTATGCATTTTAAATACTTTGAGCCTGTTTGGTTGTATGCAAAATAAACGAAGGAGAATTATTTCCCTTGTTTGGTTAGTTATATCCAGAGTAAAGTAAAAGCATTTTTTTTGTAATAATTTATTTTAGCATTAAAATAAGTATATTTATAAAAGATGTATATTTATAATAATTATTAGTATTTAGTATTATAAATTTTTTTATATAATTAAATTTATTTAAACCTAAATTGAATTAAATTAAAATTTATTTCAACCAGCTATTTCAGTAATACGAGCAGCTGCATGCACTCTTGCATCCCATGCTGATGTAATGCCCCGTGGTAATCTTTGTTTTCAGAACAAACAGGGGAGATTGGAGACGTAAAGATAGCTCTTTAGAGTGCCTTTTTTCTATGTACTCGTAGACCAGAATCATCTCTGAATGATCTTCACAGTAGCCGATGAGGGAGACGAGGTACTGGTGACGGATTCGGGAGAGTACAACGATCTCTGTTTGGAATTCAGGGTATCCCTGTCGCGAACCAGGCACGTCGCGCTTCACGGCGACTTTGGTGCCGTCGCCGAGGACTCCTTTGTACACTTTACTGAACCCGGCGGCGCCGATGAAGAGATTCTCTTCGAAATTGTTTGTCGCAAAGATGACTTCCGAATAAGATATTTGGAGGTCGAGATTAAGCCGCCGGGAAGCAGAGCTCTTTGGTGTTCTATCGGCAGAGGAAGCGGCAACGCCGGAAGACCGATAATGCTTCGGATTTCTCATCCAGTAAATTTATAACCCGTTCAATATGAGCGGGTTTCTAATTCACGCGAAACAAGCCCCTTAATACACGCCTAATACTTCAGCGGATTTTCTTTTGATCCTCTCAAAATTAGCCAAACAATCAAATTTAATAAATACATGTAATTGTTTTACTTTACACTCATAATTCAGGCAACCAAACAGCCCCTTAGTATTTGTAGTGCATATTTATTTGTGTGAGCATTCATTGTGTGTTTTCCTTTAAAGAAATCTTAAAGAGAGAGCTTAGAACTTGGGAGAGAAAGGGTGGAGTGTTGCAACTTAAGCTTATGATTTTATGTTTTTGATGATAATAAATATTATGGCTCGTATCATATTGCCTACTTATATTTGTAATATATTTATATTTATGTGTGTACTAACTTTTCAAGAATACCATGCACCATTGTTGACCTCATTTTTGTATGACGTCACTTTTAACTCCTCCCTGAGTTCTAGATCCTATGATTTTCCTAACTTCTAGCCCTTAGACCCAGCCCAGATCTTAATTCAATCCAAACCCATAATCCAGGGTTAAAGACTTAGGTTCCAAAACACTTTCTAGGTGATTTTTTTTTCATTACTTCCAAAATCTAGTCAATTGGCATCTGATTCAGGATCTGCCAATTGTATATTGATGCGACATGTCTTTAGTGTCAACCCTCCAAATTTGAGCTCATTTGGAGGACTCTAACCCCATAAACTTAATCCAGCTCCAAAGATTGCAAAACCTTCAAATATTTACAATCAATGCCACTAGGCCTTTCACCTAGTGGAATTTGACTTTGGAGCCCCCTCCAAACCCATTGATCACCTCTAATACCTTGATATTGATTTGTTGAACAATACACCTTTCCAGGCTCAATTTGACCAAGAATTGACTCAGAGCCAAAATGACTAAAATGCCCTTCAAGGGGATTTTTGGACTTTTGGCCTAAATTTAATTTGATTTGACAATCAATCTTTGAAATCTTCCTCAAATGTTTTCAAATGACCTTTGGAACCCCTTGGACTCAATTCCAACCATGGGTCAACTTGGTTGACCAAGTCAAGCCATTTTGACCTTAAGGCCTCTTAAGGGTCAAAATGTCCATTTTGACCCAATTGATCCTCTACACTTTGACATCCCATTCATTAGGTTCATGGGATCAAATTGAATTCAATTGACCTAATTCTTGGTCTTAGGTCAGCTTGGTTGACCAAGTCAACCAAGTTTGACTAAATGACCTATACACTCTTCCTTCCATCCAAACCCTTGAACCAAGACCATTTCAATCTCATTTTGAGCTTAAAGGGTGGCTCCTTGGACTCCCAAGAGACCTCTCTTAAAGACCTAAGCCTTGGGCTCACTTGGGTTAGCCTTTAGCTTGACCCAAGTGCCCAAAGATAGTCCCCCTTTGAATCATTTCTCAACCTTGATTAAATTGAATCCAAACTGTGGTGGCATTAGGTCTCCCATGACCCAATACACCTCCCTTAACCAGCTCAGCCTTTGAGTCACCTTGGGTCAAGAGTTAGGCTAATCCAAAATGGCCAAAATTCCTTGGGATTGAGCCTATTCCTGTCCTAAGTCAAATTGAATTTGATCAACACATCCATTAGGTGGCCCTAGGTCCAATACACCTCATACAGCCAGCCCATGCCTTGGGTTGACTTGTGTCAAACTTTAGGCTAGCTCAAAGTAGCCAAAACTATATAGACCCGAGCCATTTTTGAACCTAAATCAAATTGAACACAATTGCCACTTGCATTGGGTGGACCAGACCCAGACCCACCTCCCACATCAACCCCAAGGTCTGGCCTAACCTGGTTTGAGCCCAAACCGACCCGAACCAAGCAGATTTGGATCAACTCTAGCCATCTTTGAACCCAGGTCAAATTGAACCCAATTTCCACTTGCATTGGGTGGACCAGACCTAGACCTATCTCCCACATCAAGCCCAAGGTCTGGCCTAACCTGGATTGAGCTCAATTTGTCCCAAACTGAGCAGGTTTAGGTCAAGCCAAGCCACCAGATCAAATTGAACCTCTCTAGACCCAATTGAGCTCACCCTCGACTCCAGCACTTCCCCATCCTTCCTTCTACGTCAACCCGAAAAGTCCTATGGTTCCAGGTCCTGATTGAATCTATGTTGAGCTTAATTCCAGTGTTAATGTTATTTTAATTATTGCATTTATTGCTTGAATTTAATTCCCTAGGACCTAAAATTTTGGGAGAGTTAATTTGGCCATGTCCCTGACATGCCCAAATTTTATCTCCCCTGTTTGAGATGTTTAAGGGCATTAGATTCCAATTTTGGATCTAAGGGTCATAGGTTGACCCTTAAATCCAAATTGGAATTGTGACCTATCAAATAGGAATTAGGATCAGATTTTGTGTGTGCTAGTGATGTGTAGTATAGGGAGTCTAGAGCCAGTGATTTTACCCCAATCCAAGCTTAGGATAGCTCCCTAGGATTTCCTTAAGATGACTTAGAGATCACCTTAGGTGGCTTAGTTAGCCACCTTAGAAGGTTCCAATTAGGCCCAAATTTGGTGTGTTGAGGCCTTGGGATTAGGTGATCCCATGGTTTAAATCTTATCAAGTTTGGGGCCCATTTGATCCACCAAATAGGAGCCATAGTACTCCCCCCTTAGAATCACCCTTTGGCCTTAATAAAATTCTAATAAATCTAGATTAATTCCTAAAATTCCTTAAAATACCTCTAACTGACCTCAATTGATTCATAAATTAGTATAAATTTAAATCCCTTTAATTCAACATTAAAATCCACTTTAATTTAATTTTAAATTAAAATCAATGTTTAATCAATTTTAATTGATTAAAATTTATTAAAAATCCCAAAAAATATTTAAACACTTGATGATCTCCCCTTGGATCATTTCTGATCTTTGGAGTTGATTTCAAGAAGTTTAGGATTCACTTGGGTTTAACTATGTAAAAGGCTTCTTAATTAAGGTAATTAAATAATCCTAATAAATACCTAAACTTCCAAAATTCATTGTTAATTGTAGAAAATTCAAAATCAATCAAGTTGAGTGGCTAATGAATCTAATTAAAATATAGTATTTTTCCAAAAATGTCAAATCTCTAAAATCTGGTCAAAGTCAAAAAGTCAACATTTTGGTCAACCCTAGGTCAAAATCGGGTTAAAACTTCTAAAAATCATAACTTTTCATAAAAAACTCCAAATTGAATGTACCACCTATCTAACAACTCATAATAAGGTCTAGTATTTATGAAAAATATGAAACTTTTAAGTTTTCTTCTAATTCTAAAAACCAACTTTTGACCCCTTAGTTAACATATCTAGTTGTTTCCCTAAAACCTAATAACTCACTCAAACTCCAAAATTTTCTAAGTAGGTTAATAATATTCTCAACCAATATTTTAAAATAAATAATTAATTATTTATAATATTAATCCACTCCTTTAATTCCAACCAATTTAAATTAACTTAATCAACCTCGATTACTTCTGGGTAACCCAAGCCTACGAGGCTATTAGCTTAGCCCCAAGGAAGGTGAAATAAACTTCACGGCCTCGGTGTGAAACAAAGGTAGTGATCAATCAATTCTTAAAATATATTTAACTAAAATTCTTAATATATTAATATTTAAACTTTAATCTAAATTTCCCTTTAAACCTTAACAAACTCAAATACTAGATAACTTTAACTAACCACCCAACTTAGGATCTACCCCAGCCACACGACCTTTAACACACACTTTAGATGGTTTGCTAGGACAACCAACTCTAGATCTAGGTTAGGCCGGTGTTTACTTTACTGCTGTGTGCCGGATGTTTTATGATTTTACTGCATGTTGTGGATGAAATTGCCTTGCTGTGTCTGCTTACTTTTTCCTGCACTCTATGGATGATTGATGTATTTGGCGACTAGATTACCTTTAGGATATGAGCGATCTAGATGTTCACATAATTTTTTGCAGGTGTCCACACTCATGCAAGGCAATAAAAAAGGGGGCTAAATCAATAAAATAAAATTCAATTATTATAAATGCTTGCATAGGTGATTCAACTGCTAAAGCCCCCCCCCCCCCTAAATAAAAAGAGCGTGGCAAGTGTGTTTATTTCTTTTTCTGCATATATATAACTGCTTGGGAACATTCTAATTTATTAACTGCTTAGGATAACCCTGCAAGAGAGTCTAGAATTTTTCATTCTCATGTAAATATAATTTGTGCAAGTGTTAAGTGTTGTGAAAGTGAAGCTTTGAATTGGGATACATAAATTCAAAGTTTGGACTTCAAAGAGAAAAGGACACCCCTTAGGAGAGTAGCCCTATTCTATTTGGAGAACCAAATTTGGATTATTTCTTTCCTACCTAAAGAGGAAAGACTGGCCTTCCCCTCAAAGGAAGTGCCATCTTATCCATTTGGGTAGTCTACCACGAAGAATTCAAGGAGCCTGATGGAGATGAACCTGAAGGAGAACAAGATCGAAGACTTAAAGGCAAAAAGTATCCAATTCAAAACCACTTGCGTCCCTACTAGGTTTAGAATCTGGGTTATTGTCAGTGGTGCCTGGCCACTTTACTTTCTGCAAAATTCTGGTTTGTAATAAGCAAGGTAACTTTGCCTATGAATATTTATTAATTAATTCATTTATATTTGATGTGTTGAGATGATTGCCTTTAGGATTGCATGCTTTTCTTAGTTTTTTTAGCATTTGTGTGCCACTTTTATTTTCATCTGGATACGTGAGACTCGTAAGGGAGTGAAAATTTTATACTCATAATCTTAAAGTTTAAAATTTAGTGAGTCTAAATAGCATAGAAATATAACGAATCTAGGGAATTAGTCGAGGATCGACCCCGGGGTCGCATGCATGTTTCTGCACTCCTTTTTTCCTTGCTTTAGACCCTTTCCCTCCTGCTGGTAGAGTCCGGATAGTCTGACCTATGAGGATGAGGTGCCAGACCTGGGGAAGTCCAGTCTTCTAAAAAATTATTTTTTAAGCC